TGAGTAAAAGACAAGTTCATTATGGATCGGGAGGACAATCAAACTGCATTGTAAAATGAGCAAGCTGAGATTAGAGATAGCAGAAATTATGTGTGTCATTTGTGCGAGACAACTAAAATCTCTCCTCCATGCAGCAACTCCAAGCTTTACTACAAGGAACAGTCCAGGGGGATTCCTCCCTGGGCTGGATGTATATGACATGCTGCAGTTTACATGGAGTAGCCACCTCACCACTCTGCTCTAAAATCAAACCAAATAAAAATATTTCCTAACTGTTCAATTCCTGATCCATTCTGCAAACTTATGGTGAAGGTTCCTAAAAAGAATGGCCAGAAAGTTCAGAGTTACAGGTTAAATGTAGGTTTAACTTAAACATTTGAAAGTAAAACGATAGTACATACAGTGACAATACTTACACAATCCTTTGTCCCCTGACCATTTTATCACCTCTAAGATACATAACTTCGGAAAAATTATTTTTTCCAAGGAATGTTACCGTCTTATCAGTCAATCTCTGGAAACAGCAGATTCTGCGAATCCACCAAATTTGCACCTCTGTAGGTACAAAACAGATTTCACAAAGCATCAGCTTTGTGGTTCAATGCATCATCCATCATGAAGCTGCTGGCACAGCATCTGATGATTCATGAGCAATGGGCTAGCAGGTGGGCTCACTAATCACATCCTGCACATAGCTGCAAGCTCATCAGCATGAATGGACCTCAATAGAAGGATGCCTCCATGCAGCACGCTGCAAAACCAACCTTTTTTCCATGACTTTTGAAGAAGTAGTCAGTATCAGTGCAAGCACAATTCAGATGAAAGCCCATGACTTTTCTTGCCAAGTGTGAGCCTGAAGTTGGTTACAGATAGATTGAGCAGGGACTCAGTGAACAGAAAGCATGATCAAAGCACGATCACTTGGCTTAGAATCTGCCACAGTTGGGGAAAAAGGAGGTAACACAGAAGCAGAGAAAACAAGAGCAGTCAAGGATACTCCTGCAGAGGCATTCAATGACACAGCAGCAGAAGGGAAGAAACGTCTCTGCTGAGACTGAGCCATTTCTGTGATGCAGAGAGATACACTTCACAGTAGAGAAGAGAAACACGGGAGGTAATGGTGATACCTGAAGTAATTTAAGGGAAGAGGCCTTTCAAGTCTGTTGACACAGTGAACAAACTTTATGGCATCCAGAGTCAGAAAGGAACAGCAAATTACCTTGTCTGACCTGCTGTATGACGGGCCATGCATTGCATTTAGAAGCTAAAATGAGTTCCTAACTTGGGCTAGACAAAACATTCCCAGAACAAGACTAAGCTGTCTGGAACAACAGATAAAGGACACAGATGTCACCGAAGGTCAGAACTGATCAGGCAAGATGTTCATATGATTCCAACAAGCAAATGGAGATGCACACCATACACACTTAGAAGAAAGAGGATAAGATGTTACAAACACCTACTGACAGGAGGTTACAAGGGCACCAGACCTCCTGGTAATGTGTTACACTGCATCAGGTAGAAGCTGTAGACATCTGTTCTTCACAGAGTGGGCTGGAGCTGCTAAAGAAGCTCCTGTCCCCACAACCAATATTCAATAATCAGCCATGAACATACTCTCTTTATACTGTTGACCAAAACGCAAACCATGGGGACAAAACTAATACTATAAAGACGATCACCTTCTGCTTCCCTTGCACTTCTGCTGCACTCCACTACTTGGTTGTTATTTGGCTCACAGTTTACTCAAGTGCTAAGATTGCTTGGAAGGAAGAAAACATTTCAGATAATTTCACACAATGTACATGATGCAGAATAACTTGGGATCCTAGCATCATACCTTAAAGAAGGATCTCAGAGTGGAGACAACTTGATGCTTAACATCCCATGAAGACTGAGCTGTAGTTCCAGACTGAATATGCCGTGTTAGAGAACCGTACACAGTGCTTAGCGCTGCGCTGTTGGGACAGAGAGAGTCCCTCTTTTATCAATACAGCAACATACTTGGACTCAGAAGCAATGCAAGATGATGGTCATACAATGCTAATCAAATCACAGTACAAGCAGCTTTCCTTTCACAGCTGTTTAGTAGTATGAGACAGATCTCTGCAGCTCTGCTGTTAGAATTTCAGGTTATTTTTCCCCTTTGTTGTTGTTGTTGTACTAGCCAGCAGGAAGTAAAGCAATAGGGGATTGATGCTCCCTGATAGAAGCACGTTTCTAACGCATCATAAAAAGTATGCAGCAGTACAGATCCAGAAATCAACTGGAGCATCCAAGAAAACACATTCCCATAGTTAAAGAGAGTCACTTGGAGACATCAATTTTACCCCAGGATGCCCAAGCTGCTGAAAGCCTTAAGACAGGGGTTGCAGGTCATAGCTCTGTTGTGAAACATAATGTTGCTGTCTCCTATTCCATCCATAAATCATGCAACTCACTCTGCAGGAGAATGGGCCTAAAATTTTGGAAACACTTTCTTATCCAAGGCCACTTCTTGGTTTTGCTTTTGCTAATGCAGATACACAAAACTATATTGTAATAAAGGCCTCCAATTTCTTCTCACATATAGGGGAAAAGAAATGGTGGCATGACAGTGCTAATACGTGGCTTACTGCATTCTGGAAGGTGTTCACAGTACAGGTAACCATGTAAGAACCTGGAAATAGAAGTTGTTTATTTTCAGAATAGAAGAATATTTCTCCATGTTCTAGGGGAAAAAACCTTCAATTTCTAGAACATACCCTCCAAGAGAAAACAGACTAATTTCTTTCCGAGGTGAAGCCAACGATCAGCTCTTAACACATCCTGAGTTAGGCTAACTTGTCCAAAGAAAGACAGAAATGCCAGTGCAAAACTAGGATCCAGGGGAGCATTTGCTAAAACTGCTCTTCAGTTTTCACTACAAGGAAGAACCCTGTCGGTAGAACTGACAGGTGTTCCAGTTTTCCCACACTACTCAGACAGGGATTCAACAGGTGATCAGTGGCTTCTCCTCATTCTGGAAAATGGGAGCAGAAAATGGCAAGAAATTAATGCTAAGTAAGACTGAGAACTTTTTAAAGTAAATGTGAAAGTCAGAAGTGAGAGAAGGAAGGAAACTAGAGACACAGGGATTGGCAAACGCAGTTCTTTATGATGATAATCTCCGATGACAGTCTTGGTGCTACACTGGCCATGCACAGATGTAACATGAATGACTGGGCATGCATAACCCAGGAATCAGTTCTGAACAAAGCCTTGTGTAGCCCAAGTCTGAGAAAAGCCACACATTACAGCCAGTCAAGCAGTCCCCAAATTCGCAGGAGGCGAGTGATGAAACGCAAAGGAAACCCTTGCAGAGACTGCTAGTCCATTATGCAATCCAGCATTTTGAGTTTCCTCAAGTTACAGCCATGGCGAAAACACTCTGTACCCACAAGTGTTTGGAGAGCAACCAAACACTGTCCCCTTACGCTCACCAACGTACTTGTCATTGACACACATGGGAAGCGGGTCCACTTTGAGGCTTACCAAGCTGTCATTTCCTGGAAAGAACGCTCTCCCACAAACACTCAGTAACTGCATGTGCAACTCGGCAGGTTTGTCATTTTGGGGTTTCCATACGAAAAAGCAAATTTGGAAGAAATACAAACTATGCAAAAGAAGTAAAACCCTTAAGGCAGCAGCAATTTGGGAGCGTGAGAGGTTGAGCAATCATGCCCACTGGGCACTGGGTGCACTTATTTTTCTAAGAAGAATTACATCTATGAATTAAGGTCACTACAATGTTACAGTTAAAATGAGAGTATAAAGAAGGAAGGAGAGACGATCTCAGCTTAGATCCAAAGTATACCAATCCTCAGCCTTTGTTACCAGCCACAAAGAACGTTCTGTAGCACACAGAGTGATTGGATCGCTACAGACTGCCTAGATAAAGTCCAGGAAGTCAAAAGCATTGACAGGAACATAGAGGCAAACACAAAGAAGCAGAGACAGTCTGCTATACGGCTGTGTACGTTGAAGCTATCGGTAAACAGAGAACTTCAGTCTCCAGGGACTGAATTTGCTTTGTGCATTTTTTTTAAAATTACATTTCCTTTATACAGAGAAAGAGCATGAACCTGACAAATTTACAAATTTCATGAAGACATGGACAGAAAATATATTGGTATGTGGTCAGTCCACCTACATCTTTTTTTTGGTTGTTTGCACAGGACTACAAAAACTAAGGCACCTGCTCACCCGACACAGCACTGAAAGAAAGAGAAGCAGGCACACAGACAGCTCTGCCAACAGTGTTCATTGCTGGATAAAACAAAGAACAAAATGATTCTCTCCTGCAAAGACTACTGGGCTAGCAGGGAGGTCTTTAGGACCTTTGAGCTACTTAGTAATTTTTCTCCCTGCTAATGGGGGAGTTGCTAGGATAAGGAAAGGATCTTCTGTAAGAAAAAGCCACGAAGATTGATTCAAACTTATAAAAGACAAAGCCAGGCAAAGCATCGTATATTTAACAATATGAATGAGTGCTAGCTTTAGCTCAATTACCTTTCGGTGATTTTGAAAAAACAGCACGCAGGTAGTGCAAGTCAATACAGTAAGTACTGTGAGAGCAAATGTCCTCACAAGTGAGATTGCTGAGTACAGCAACTGGGACCTACAGCCTCCCTCCTCAACCCCAGAGCTAGAGGTTACATCCTGTTCACAAGAGCAACAGCGCAACCCAACTGTACCCAACGATCAGCCAGTGTGACACAGGGACCAGAACATGAGTTAAACGCCCTCCATTTCAGTTTTAAAGGGCTGCCTGAATTCACCACCCGGTCCAAGGCACATACCACGGCTCGCACAGCTTTGCACTAGGGCTGGTACCCTTGGCAATAAAGATGCCCAGAAGCATCAAGACCATAAACCACCACTAAAAAAATCAGTAAATGTATGAGAGCCTTCCAGTTTGCCAACACAGCCTGGCAGCTCTCTGGTGCACAGGTTGGTCACGCAGTAGACAATGATTCACGACCACAGTCCCAACTGCAGCCTCTGACTCCCACCATGCCACGATAAAGGGCTCTGGGGCTACCACGAGGAGACCTAGAATCACCGCGAGGGGATCCTGGGCCACCACGGTAGGATCCAGAGGGCTCCATGCCCACCATGAGGGTATCCTGGGCCACCATGAGGGGCTCCAGAGAGACCCAGGGCCACCACGGGGGGGATCCAGGGCCACCACGGGGGATCCAGAAGGCTCCAGGATCACCGTGAGGGGCTCCAGGCCCCACTGCTGAGCAGCTTGACAGAGAGCAGCCCAAGCACTGGGCAGCCCTGCCTCCTCCACCCACAGAGCACCCAGGGCCGGCGGCAGCCCACGCTCCCGCGGCGCACCGACCTCGCTGGTGAACATGGCGCAGAAGTAGTCGCTGCAGGCGGCCAGGACGATGCGGTGGGCTGGGAAGTCCTTGTGCTCCACACGGAGGGTGACGTCGCAGAGCGTGTTGCTCTTCCGCAGGGCGTTCATGGCGTTGAGGATGGACTTGGCGTGCGAGTTGGTCATGATGTCCTTGGGGGGGGCCAT